TGACCCCAAAGACCGTTTTATAACAATGTCATGTATTTTACCCATAAAGCCTCACGGCATATATCCCCTTGTACGTCCTGTCATCCCCTGACCACCTTGCAGCCCACGTCTATAACACCTTACTCCTGTTATGAGACCTGTTATTTACAATCAGTATGCTCATCCAAGGATGTACTCACGAGGGCCTCCAGCCCGCTTAGCTTCTCACGACATTACACGCAAACGACATTACACGCAAACTTTCTATAGCACTGCTTTGCGGGTTTTCAGCCGTTTAATAATTCTAATTTTCAAACCGTATACTGTACAGTACACGTATGACATTCATCGGTTTATATTCTTAGTTTTTTCGGTAAAGTCACGTTGAAGAGAAACAACAAAATAATAAAATATATAACCGCAAAATAATATATAACATTATATATTTTTTTATTTTGTTGTTTCTTCAACGTGACTTTACCGAAAAAACTAAGAATATGAATTACTGCAGTCACGAAAGCTTTAAATCAAAATTCATCGGTTTGTAATGGATTCTTCATGGATAATTATCTTTGTACCGTTTTCCAGGCAGAAATTATGTTTCCTGAGATTGGTTTCACTCGTAAGGCATGCGCAGCTTAAAAGTTACACATTGTCTCAAGTCTTGTGATAAATAAACGTTTTGCAATTCTAAGATCACTGTAATCAGTAAACCAAGTAACCTGCCCCTCACGGAGTGTGACGCTGAAGCTGATAGAAAGCGTTTAAACCCTGCAATTGCGGTGTTTGTTATTGTTGTTGTAGTAATATGACCAAGTTTTTTTTTTTGGGGGGGGGGGGAGACATTGGCTTTTCTTGAGCAGAGAGAAGACAACCAATGTACTCTAAATATGGCCACGAATGAAAACTTTCACAACGACTGCATTTTGTGGAACAGCCATTCGAGGTGGTGGTGGTGTAGCTCATAGGTAGTCCACCCCACAATGAACTCAGTGGGCCCAAGATTGTAAATCCGGCCATGGCTACTCAGTGGGCCCAAGATTGTAAGTCCGGCCATGGCTACTCAGTGGGCCCAAGATTGTAAATCCGGCCATGGCTACTCAGTGGGCCCAAGATTGTAAATCCGGCCATGGCTACTCAGTGGGCCCAAGATTGTAAATCCGGCCATGGCTACTCAGTGGGCCCAAGATTGTAAGTCCGGCCATGGCTACTCAGTGGGCCCAAGATTGTAAATCCGACCATGGCTAAGGTCCTGAACCCCCGTTCACCAACCCACACCGACCAGCGGTGGTGAATTATGGCCAAACAACCCCAACGACCGACACGGTGTGGTGAAGGCCTTCATCTAGCAGTAGATTGACAAATGGCTGTAAATGTTTTTATTATGATTATTTAACTTGTGGGTGGATGAATAATGTAGGCCTCACTTGAGTCTCAAGACTCCTTATCAGGAGGGTTCCCACATTAGGATGTTTGGCCATTTCCTGAGCGAGTCATTCTGCATGTGTGGGAGGAAATTGAGGTACCCGGAGAAACCCACACACGCACACGAGAAAATGAAACATGCCACATTGGCTCGCACGGTGTTAGAATGCTGTGCAGGCGACGCTCTGTACAATTCGGTACGACTTGGATTCGTGTGGCGTCTAAATTTGACCGCATATCAAGACTGTACAGAATGAGTGCGATTTTATTTTATAGAGAGGTGGTCGGTCATAAGCGGCGGATAAAAATTAAGTCTCTTGAGCCTGGACTCCAACAGGGGCGGTGAGTCGACAGCACAGATGGCAGGGGGGGGGGGGGGGGGGGAATGGAGTTTCGGACTTGTACCAGCAGATGCTATTCCTGTGTACTCTATTGGACTATGACATGCCATTCACACAGCACTGCTTCTTATTGGAGACTAGCTTTACTAAGCGGCTTCGCCCGATACTTGGATTCTTGTCTTGGATTTATGCACGACCTACGCTGAGGATGGGGGGGGGGGGAGATGCGTGACGTCAGCAGGCACACTGCGTGACGCTTTCGCATGCGGGTGACGTCACAGATGTGACGTCATACGGGTGACGTCACAGATGTGACGTCACCCGTATGCGTGCAAAATATATCCATTATTGCCCTCCTCCCCCCCCCCCCCCCAAAAAAAAATAAAAAGTCTATTTTTTGACTTTTTGCATTGTGTACAGTCTGGAAGCTACTCACATGCCAAATTTCAAGTTTGTTGCATGTTGGGAAGTATGCTAAACATTTCAAACAGACACACATTCACAAATGTCCCTTTTATATATAAGACGAAGTTATGGAAATACCAATGACCCCCAACTCATTTGCACTTAGCCGCTCTGCTCATAATGAATCATAAATCCTAACCCTCGCCCCCCTCACTATTGTGTTGCATGGGGCAGGGTGGAGGGTTACCTTTGACCTCTTCTTTGGTTCTTTCGGTAAGGTCACGTAGAATACGTAGAATACGTCACCTTACCGAAAGAACCAAAGAAGATGATTCCTTGCAGTCACGAAAGCTTTAAATCGAAATTTACCTTTGACCTGTCATAATCTGGTGCAGGCAACGCTCGTATGGACACAGTGCGCCCCCCTGCTGGCCACTGCATCAGTTGACAATGGAAATTATTTCGCCTTGTAGAATGATTCCAAAAGCACAACTGGAATGTAATTAAGGGGGAAAAAGACATTGTCATCCGAAATCAAATGCCCTTCCCGTCAAGAAGAGAATTAGACTCGCTAAGTTAATCTGTCTCCTGGATCGAATCCAGTTTTTTTTATTGTTCTCGGATCATTTCCAGCCGCCACTTCACGAGAACCATCGCGTACATTCTCATCTGTTTCTCAATATGCAGTCACTTAAAGTTGTAAACGGCTTATTTACCTCACGAGTTCTACATCACAAATCTTAAGTCAAGCATTGGAGGGTTTTTTGTTTTTGTTTTAATCCAAAGCGTTTTCCTGCTCGGGGCAGTGTTTATTCCCTTTGGTGGAATTTCCTCATTACCATGGTGGGGCACAGACTATCATCAGAACTGATCACTCTTAACTTCCTTCTAAGTGGTACTGTACGGTACTAATTGTTTCAACTCCAAATCAGCGATGATGATGATGATAAGGCATGTGGAGTTGCTTTTAAACGCGTGTTGCCAATCAATTAACAAGGGCGTTATATTAATTAACGAAACAACGTTTGTTTACATTTTAAATGCCGAAGCAAATTAGCGTTTTTACGCGTCTAAAATTTAACAAAAGTTAGCCCTTTTTTTAAACTAATACCAATAATGTATGTTGCACTTCTCTAGCACTGTACGTAGCCAACCGTGCCACCCAGGAAATGCTCACTCGAGTTCTAAAGAATCCCCATCAGGAGAGTCCTGCATTGGAATGTTTGGCCAATTCCCCTGAATGAGTGGTTTGGCTTCATGCGGGCGAAAATTGTACAACCCTCGACACATAACAAGGGGTTAAAACATAACAGCCTCCGTACAGATGTATTCAGGAATCCTTTGCTGTAGTGCCCTTATCTGGCTACCTCGTAATCCCAAGCTCACAACAGAACGCCTGTTATTCCCCAGGGAGTCTCAAATCCAAGTACTAACCAGGCTCAGGCCTGTCCAGTTTAGCTTTGTAAGATCCTATAAGATTGGGCCCATTATTCAGGGTTATTTGGTCACAGGCATGAGGGCTAGGGGGTTACTCATTGGTTTTTTCGGTAAAGTCACGTATGTAGAAATACAATAAAATTATATTAAAACAAAAAACAATCACGACGTTTCGATCACAACGCAAGCGATCTTCATCAGGTGTCAAGAACAAATCACGGAGGTAAATACAACAAAAAGATGAGAGACGAGAATTCAACAAACCTGAAAAAACATTATGTGAAGCACATCCAGTCAGGCCAACAACACAGTTAGACACTTCCTGGCGGACCACGAATTTCAGAAGTGTTAAATTTCGTGTTCAACCTTTGGAATGCACATATCAGCATAGATAGAATGAAAAATACGAGGTACACGGTCAGTAGAAATACATATACAAGTCCACCAAGAGGTAAGGAGGGAGGAAAGACGGACAGGGAGGCAGAGAGAGAGGGGGGGGGGGTGCCGGAGGGTACTGTACGGTACATCCCTCCGCCCCCCCTCTCTCTGTTCTTGATACCTGATGAAGATCGCTTGCGTTGTGATCGAAACGTCGTGATTGTTTTTTTAAATATAATTTTATTGTATTTCTACATACGTGACTTTACCGAAAAAAACAATGAGTAATTTTATGCAGTCACGAAAGCTTTAATACTTTATTGGCTAGGGGGTTGTTAAACGATAACCGGTAACCGTTTTCAAACTCAATTACCGGTTCTGCAAGACAGGAAACATCAACAATAATCCACTGGAATATTAGTAATGAATGCATGGAATCGAACCGGCGACCTATTGGATTGCATATCCAGTGTGCGAACCGTTAACACCGCTTTGGGCAGCTTTCTTCGTAGTAGTGAAGTATCAAACGCCACGTTTGTTGCTTGACCTTTATATGTGCGGCAAAACTGGTTTGCGACCCGTTTTTTTTCATTTCATGAGGTTACCGGTAATGAAAATGCAAACAAATCTTAACAGCCCTATCGAAGACTAAACCGGCTTTCGGCCGCCAATCGAAGTGTCCAAGATAGACTGAAGTGTAGTGGCATTAAATACTTGAAAAGGAAGCCTATATCTGTAATTTGCTTATTTCAAACATTAGCACAACAGCAGAAGGTATGCGAACCAACGACCTATCCATTGCGCCCGTGACACGTTTAACTTATTTATACGGATACATTTATTGGATTTAATTATAATTCATGGGAGGCGATCACGTGACGGTGAAAGAGAGATAGGACAGCGAAACTCGGCATGCAAGGCTGGCAAACAGCTCGCGTCTGCCCACTCCCAACGTGACCTGGCCTCGTCGTGACCTGGCCTGACCTGGCCATCACGACCACCAATAATCCCACCGCACCTCGAATCCGCACTCACCTGAGACCCCACAATCGGCGCACTCCTCGTTCCCATCGACTTGCAGCAGTTTCTGCAGCGCAGCCTCTGCCATGGCTCCCGGGGCAATGCGAGTGATCTTCGGACGGGTGAAGATTCAAACGACTTTCCCACCCACCCACCCGCTCAGTCGCTTACTCACCCAGCTGCCTGTCCACCCACTCGTTTACTCACCCGCTCTAACCCCGCGACTCACCCACCTGGTTTTCTACCTGGTTACCTGCCGGTCCACCTTGCTGCTCACCCACCTTGATGGCTACTTCCGTCCTAACTTGCTTTCTTTCTGACAGACACGCCCACCTGGTTAGCGACTGACTTACTCGCCCAGCCACCTACCAAAACACCATGAATGTCACTAACCTGCCTACCTACCTGCCTGCCTACCTGCCTACCTGCCTGGCGCCAAAACCGATAACGGAAGAAAACTGACGACCCCCGCCAAGCAAACTACTATCTCATCTCCCCACCCCCACCAGTATGAAAGAACCCACTCACCGGATCCTCCCACTCACCAGCCCACCTGGAGTGGGGGCTGACCTGTGGGTGGCTACGAGTGTGGGTTCCTGCCCCTCCCCGTCTCACCTGGGAAAGTGGGCCCAGCAATCGGCTCTCAATCCGCACCAAATCACCCTCGGCGTTTCGCTCAAACGCTTCGATCCGTGCTCACCTGTGCTCCGGCTAACCCTGCTCACCTGAGCCACCTCGCCTGAGCCACCTCGCCTGAGCCACCTCGCCTGAACTAGCTCACCTGAGCCACCTCGCCTGAGCCACCTCGCCTGAGCCACCGCACCTGAACTAGCTCACCTGAGCCACCTCACCTGAGCCAGCTCACCTGAGACAGCTCGCTTAAAACAGCTCACCTCAAACAGCTCACCGGCAATAGCTGGCACACCTAACCTGTACCAACGCACCTGATTTTACATAAACCACCTCACACTCACCTGAGCCTCCTTACCTGTAGACCTCACCTGTACCCGCGTGCCTATGGTAGTGCTGTTGAAAGACTGCTGTCTAAACCCCATCCACACCCACACACCCGCTATCTCTACTCATACACGCAACCCCTGCTGTTGACAGCTCGTGTGCGTTAATCTCTCACACACACACACAGTGTCTCCCGCTCTGTGGATGCCTGCTGTCGTTTTGTACTGAAACGGCTGTGATGTCCGACTGTCGAGGTCGGCTGTCCAAGCAGAGTGGAGGAGAAACCTCACGTAACAGCAGCCTCTCTCCTCCTCCTCGTCCCTCCTCCTCCTTCTCTCCTCTCCCCTCCCCGGGTTCCGCATTCTGCAGTGCCGAGGCTGGCACGGGCACCACAGCGCCGCCTGCTGTGACATCACGTGCAGCTTTAGCTGTGTCGTGGCTCCGCGTGTAGTGGCCGTACGATTATTTGAACCGGTCCTGTGCCTTCCCCCTAGGTCGACTCAGCCTCAAATGAGTACCTGGTTCGGTGTGTGGTAAACAATGCCACCGGGGAGGCAAAGGCGGCCGGGCGTGGTGCTGGGCACCCACCCACCCCCTCGTGTGCCGTGCCGGCCTTCATAGGTGCTCGCTAACAGCACTTGCCCCAACAGTCTGTTAAGGCTACACGGGGGCTCTTTGTCTTGATGGCTGAAAATGTGTGTCTGTAGTTGAGTGCGGCTGTAGTTGTGTGTAGCTGTGTGTGGCTGTAGACGTGATGGATGTAGCTGTGTGTGGCTGTAGATGTGTGTGTCTGTATAGTTGAGTGCGGCTGTAGTTGTGTGTAGCAGTGTGTGGCTGTAGACGTGATGGATGTAGCTGTGTGTGGCTGTAGATGTGTGTGTGTCTGTAGTTGAGTGCGGCTGTAGTTGTGTGTAGCAGTGTGTGGCTGTAGACGTGATGGATGTAGCTGTGTGTGGCTGTAGACGTGATGGATGTAGCTGTGTGTGGCTGTAGATGTGTGTGTGTGTCTGTAGTTGAGTGCAGCTGTATTTGTGTGTTTTGTGGAGTTGTGTTAAGTGTCACTTTATTTGTGTGTTGAGTGGTGCTGTGTTAAAGTGCGGCTGTATTTGTGTGTTGAGTGGTGCAGCCGTAGTCGTGTGTGTCTGCAGCTGTGTGTGTCTGTAGTTTAGTGCAGCTGTGTTTAGTGCAACTGCGATTGTCTGTTGCTGTAGCTTCGTGTTGAGTGCAACTGCAGCTGTGTGTTGGAGACAATTACGTATAATAAAGGTTGTTTTTGTTAGATCGCGTAAATATAAATGTGTCGTTAAATCCGCCACCACCCGACACAGCCAAGTAGTAAGGTTTTTCACTCAAACAAAAAGTGCCAATGAGTTGCTGGTTCAGCACACCGGTGTGTGTCGGAGAGTAAACCCACGACATATACAGTGAGGGAAAAAAGTATTTGATCCCCTGCTGATTTTGTACGTTTGCCCACTGACAAAGAAATGATGAGTCTATAATTTTAATGGTAGGTTTATTTGAACAGTGAGAGACAGAATAACAACAACAAAATCCAGAAAAACGCATGTCAAAAATGTTATGAATTGATTTGCATTTTTATGAGGGAAATAAGTATTTGACCCCTCTGCAAAACATGACTTAGTACTTGGTGGCAAAACCCTTGTTGGCAATCACAGAGGTCAGACGTTTCTTGTAGTTGGCCACCAGGTTTGCACACATCTCAGCAGCGATTTTGTCCCACTCCTCTTTGCAGATCTTCTCCAAGTCATTAAGGTTTCGAGGCTGACGTTTGGCAACTCGAACCTTCAGCTCCCTCCACAGATTTTCTATGGGATTAAGGTCTGGAGACTGGCTAGGCCACTCCAGGACCTTAATGTGCTTCTTCTCGAGCCACGCCTTTGTTGCCTTGGCCGTGTGTTTTGGGTCATTGTCATGCTGGAATACCCATCCACGACCCATTTTCAATGCCCTGGCTGAGGGAAGGAGGTTCTCACCCAAGATTTGACGGTACATGGCCACGTCCATCGTCCCTTTGATGCGGTGAAGTTGTCCTGTCCCCTTAGCAGAAAAACACCCCCAAAGCATAATGTTTCCACCTCCATGTTTGACGGTGGGGATGGTGTTCTTGGAGTCATAGGCAGCATTCCTCCTCCTCCAAACACGGCGAGTTGAGTTGATGCCAAAGACCTCCATTTTGGTCTCATCTGACCACAACACTTTCACCCAGTTGTCCTCTGAATCATTCAAATGTTCATTGGCAAACTTCAGGCGGGCATGTATATGTGCTTTCTTGAGCAGGGGGACCTTGCGGGCGCTGCAGGATTTCAGTCCTTCACGGCGTAGTGTGTTACCAATTGTTTTCTTGGTGACTATGGTCCCAGCTGCCTTGAGATCATTGATAAGATCCTCCCGTGTAGTTCTGGGCTGATTCCTCACCGTTCTCATGATCATTGCAACTCCACAAGGTGAGATCTTGCATGGAGCCCCAGGTCGAGGGAGATTTACAGTTCTTTTGTGTTTCTTCCATTTGCGAATAATCGCACCAACTGTTGTCACCTTCTCACCAAGCTGCTTGGCAATGGTCTTGTAGCCCATTCCAGCCTTGTGTAGGTCTACAATCTTGTCCCTAACATCCTTGGAGAGCTCTTTGGTGTTGGCCATGGTGGAGAGTTTGGAATCTGATTGATTGATTGCTTCTGTGGACAGGTGTCTTTTATACAGGGATTAGGAGCACTCCCTTTAAGAGTGTGCTCCTAATCTCAGTTCGTTACCTGTATAAAAGACACCTGGGAGCCAGAAATCTTTCTGATTGAGAGGGGGTCAAAAACTTATTTCCCTCATTAAAATGCAAATCAATTTATAACATTTTTGACATGCGTTTTCTGGATTTTTTTGTTGTTATTCTGTCTCTCACTGTTCAAATAAACCTACCATTAAAATTATAGACTGATAATTTTGGGCAAACGTACCAAATCAGCAGGGGATCAAATACCTTTTTCCCTCACTGTACAATTCGAGTACGACGCTTCGCTGGTGATTACGACAACCAGCTTCGCCAGGCGATTTGCCAGAATTGTGAATAAGTCTTCCTATTCCGGTATTAAATAGGGTAAAGGTGATGTCATCACATTTATATTCATGCGATCTAACGCAGAAAAAAAACCCTTTATGGATAATATTGTTCGCGAAAGCCTACGTGTTAAGGAGGCGCTTATATATATTGCGTGCGCATCATGCAGCTGTAGCTACACATGATGTAGCCGTACATGCGTTGGGTGCATCTGTACCCGTGTTGGATTGTAACAGGAGCTGTGTGTTGAAGGCGGCTGCACGATGCTGTACACGTGTGAAGCGGTGGAGCAGCAGCAACAGCAGCAGCAGCTGCTGCGTGTATTCATCATAGCCCTTATCTACTTTTGAGCTGCAGCTGTTTGACCGTTTTAAAGCAGAAATCCCACGTGATTGAGATGCTCATCTGTGTCTAATTTGGGTTGCCAGTGTGCCTGAACCCCTCCATACTAACCATCCACAACAACTCCCACGGTTTAAAATGAAACACCTAAGACCCTCCAGAAACCTCGCTCGGGAAATGCGGCTTACGGATGTCGCATCCCCCCACCTCGCGTGAACTAAAGGTCCTTTTGCCCAAAGGGTCGTGAACCGGTGTGCTGGTGCGCGCCTGTTACCCATATCTTTGGGGGCAAGGGTTGGTGGATCGCGTAGAGACTTGCGAAGCTCCCGAAACCGCATTGGCCCTTCAACCGCTTATTTCGACTCGCGCGACGTAGTTCCGTTCACTCGATCGCGTTATAACCAATTCGCATCCGCGTTATATATATCTAAAAAAAAACAAATGTGTTCCCTAATACGTTCATCGCGTTTCGTCGAATTCGCGTTATGAAAACATCACGCTTTAGAGCAGCACAGACTGTACTCGGCAACCAACAGAACCGTGGACCGTATGACAACGACTCAATGCCCGATTCACAAACCGGAATGGGAGGCATCGTCGCACAAACGATGCGCTTCGCTACTCCTGGCGCAATCATTTGGCTCAACCACCTGGATGTAAAATTTTAGTTGTCGCTCTACATCATGGGGTAGGCAACCAAAATAACAAGAAGTGCCATTTAAAAAAGAATTCGGTATAAAAATTCAACGTTCGAGAGCGGCAATTCAATGTGAATACGAGAGACGGTGGTCCTTAATTTTTTTGTTAAAACGTCACGAAGGAATTCCTTAAAGGGCCGCAGGTTGCTGACCTCTGGTCAACATCAACCATACGAATAAGACTCATCAACTGTGTTATTATTTTTTTTATTTTACAATCGAGCCGGACAGTATAAGGAACTAAAACCCCCCATACAAACAAAACCCTAAATAATAATCGAACATTGACTTTAAATCGTGACAGTGCATCGAATCTCCTGGTGGTGGGATCGGGCGTGTGGAGGCCGAGGGGGACAGGTGTGCTAAAAGTGTTACTTGCCAATTTGTGGAACTCTCTTCGGCCCATCATTCCGTTAACAGTTGGGCGGATAAAGCTGCCCCACTCTCAAACATGCCACGTCGTCGCACGCCCACTCCAAGGTACTCACAAGGCTCGTGTGCGTGTGGTACCATGACACTCACAAGGCTCGTGTGTGTGGGTACCAGGGCACTCACAAGGCTCGTGTGCGTGTGGCACCATGACACTGCTGCTGTTTGCTCCGAGCTAACAGAAATAACTAACTAGCTGCTGGGCCTGTCTGCCACGCTGAGATTTAAATAAATAAACGGAATACACAAATATCTGTCTCTCAACGTACACGGTAAAACATATCTTAGCCCCATTCGCTTGTGAGCCTTCTGGACAAAATGTTATTCAGCGGCATTTGTTTTTGGACCTTTTGAGACTGTTTGTTTACTTGTTGTGTCTCATCAGCAATCTGGCCTAGATAATGTTGGTTAAAGAGCACCTGGCGCCACGGTGGCAAGCTGTTATCTGCCTCGCCTGGTATACAGGAGGTCGCGGGTTGGATCCCGACCCTGACTATTGCTGCTGCTGTATATTTGGAGTTTGCGTGTGTCTCTCTCTCTCTCATCATCAACATCACGGTGGCTAGGAGATGTTAACTACCTCGCCTGGTATACAGCAGGTCGCGGGTTGGATCCCGACTCTGACGCCTGCTGCTGCTGTATATTTGGAGTTTGCGTGTCTCTCTCTCCCCGTGGTCGTGTGGATTTTTATCCGGGTCCTCTTGGTTTTCTCCTCCCCATTTAGAAACACGCCTTTAGATTATTTGGCTGCTATAAATGCCCACGTGAAGAGCCACTTCGTTGAGCTATCATTTGTGGTCAGGTCGCCTCTGAAAAAGAGCTACTGTAT